GGGCGGGCGGCGGGGCCGCTCCTTCCGAGTCGGTCCGGGCTGGTGCCCGGGCAGCCGCGGCCTGTGCGGCCGTGTCCGACCGTCCAGGGACGCGAAGGCGAAGCCCCGGCCTGGCCGCATTGGCCCGGGACAGACCTGGCTCCCAAGGGGCGCCGCCCTGCACCTGAGCCCGCAACCCAGGACGTGTCCCCGCCGGACTTTGGATGACTTTCTAGAGTTTTGGGGATCCCGTAACCCCAGGAGCTCCAGACTGTTAGCTGCTCTGGGGTCGAGGTCCTTGGGTCCCATCTGTCGGGTCGGGAAAAGTGAGGTGCGCATATCTGTGAACCTGCGTGTGCGTGGACGTGCAGGCGCATGAGATCGGGGGTGTGGGTGTCTGGGTCGCAACAGCCTGGCCGGGCCATGCCGCCCTGTGGCTGGAGAACGGGGCGAAGCGCAGGAAGGGCCCCTGGGACCAGCCTCCTTGCTCAGAGGGGGCGGGGCGGGTCTGCGCGGAGAGCTCTCGAGGCTCTTCATTCGCTTTTGGAAACGCTTTCGCCGGGAGCGGGCCGGGATTCCCTGGCTGCGCACAGCCATCCCAGCTCCAGCTGCCCTGCGCCGCCCCCCCGCTCCCCGCTCCAGAGCTGGCTACCTGGCCTGTCGCACCAGCTCTGGGCCTCGAACCAACCTTTGGCCCCTTTGCCCCGCAGCTTCCACTCTGCTTGCTTCCGCAGTGTTGCTCTTATCCGCAGGGCACGCTCCCCTGTCCTCCTTTACACATCAGAACCCTGAAGCTCAGAGCAGTGATTTACCCGAGGCCACATAGCTACCGGTGGCAGAGACCCTGGGATCTTAAAAGGGAGCAAGGTTCGTATCCACTCCTTAGAAGGTGCTGATGTCACTGCCGCCCGTAGCTACTCCTGCTCATCCAGGAAGGCAACACAGACTCCAGGGCGCCACCCTCAGGCTGGGCTTTTGCTTTGAGTACAAGGCATTCATGACGCTCTGTGTGCCCCCCAGAATTTCCAGTTCCCCGTCTGCAGGAGGGAGGCTGCCTTCCCTTTCACACAGGGACTAGGAGCAGCTTCAGAGTCGGTCAGGGGCCCTGGCTGGTGTGGCTCAGTTGGTTGGAGTATCCATCCCATACAGGGAGCGGTTGTGGATTGGGTTCCTGGTCAGGGCACATACCTAGGTTTTGGAGAGGGGGAGGGGGCTTGTACAGGAGGCAACTGATTCATGGGTCTCTCTCTCTCCCTCTCAAAAATCAATAAACGTATCAGGTGAGGAGCTGGAAGCTTTTAGGGCTAGGGGATGGGGGTGAGTGGATTCAGAGTCTTGGATCTTGAAGGGGCACTGGTCAGCTCAGAACCGGGTCCTCTAAGGGAACCGGCCAGGGCATGTGAGGCAGCAAGGAGCAGATAGGCACCGGCAGATTAGCTGTGTGACTTCGTGACCTTGGGCAAGGCCCTGGCCTTCTCTGGGGCTTAGGCTTCTCTTTGCAAAATGAGAACCAAATAATGCTTCTAGGTGCCTTCTAGTTTAGAGATTCTCTGGTCTGTGAAAATCAGAAAAATCAACATTGAGAAACCATTTCCAGTCCCAGACCGGCAGCTGCCTGCTCTGGCCTCCACTCGCTTCCAGAGGAGCTGACAGCAGTGGTTGACAGAGTGCTTGTGCACCTAAATTTGCCTTGGGACCACTGGGCCCGTTCTCAGGTCAGTCCCACACAGTGCCCTCCCTCCTTCAGCTGCCAGCCCAGCTCCCACCAGCCTCCTGGAAGATCATGAAGATGTTTTTTTCCTCCATCAAACTGAGAGGATGTCTATAGTAATTTGCCCGTTGAGCAGGTAGTGCTGTGAGAATCAGGGAGGTCACATGGCTTCCTCAAGGTCACAGGGTCAAGCCACAATTAGATGCGTGTTCTGATGGCCTCCTAGGTGATGCCATCGAGGTGGTCTGCTGGGGGTGAGGCAGAGATTGCCCTGGTTGTTATCTCTAGAGAATAGGAGGGTGGTTGTTTTATGGCCATTGGGCAGTGAGGTCCCCCACCCTGGGGCCTAGCTCTCACTTCCAGCTGATTATAGGCTGTGGCAGGGTCCATAACCTCCCCAATTAGTCGGGGGCCAGGCCCAAGGCCTCTCTGATAACCCGAGCTCCAGTGGCAGCCGCTGTGGGGCCAGCTTATCTGGCCTCTCTTATCCCTCCCCTCCCCCCACACACTCAAAGAGTTGCCCTGGCTGTGAGCAGATGAATAACTAGATTGTCCTGCAAGCTCAGCCGGCAAGTCCAGCCCTACACCCACCACTTTCCCTGACTGGAGGAGGCCACAGCTGTTTTGCACCCCCTGGAGGGAAAGGGCTGAGCCAGGGAGGACTCCTGACTCTAAGCTGCCAGGCCAGTCCCTGCTCAGTTGGAGAGAGCTCCTGGCTCTCCATCTTTGCCCCACCCACGTGCCACAGGGTGGCTTCAGAGGGGCTCACCCTTGCTAGAGCTCTGGACTCATCCCGAGGGAGCCAGACCGCGGGTAGGGGTAGTACTCACAGGCAGCCTTGTGGCGCCCCTCCCCCCGCCCCTTTCAACTGAAACACTGCGCTGGCTGGGGGTGGAGGCTGTGCCTGACACATCAGTGTCCCCAGTTCAGCCAAAACAGAAAGGCTGGTGCTTCTCCGGCAGCCCCCACTGGCTGTGCCCAGGCCTCCTGACCTTCCAGCACGCCTCACTCTGCCATGTGACTTCTCACCCTGCAGGTTCCTTGGCAGGAGGGACTGGCTTCAGCCACCCTATGCAGGGCCATGCACTCAGCCTACAGAACCTAGTGTGATTCAGGGCCCCATTCTCCTAACATGCCCAACTGATCGGGTAGAGGGAACTGAAGATTAAATCTCTCCTCAGGTGCCAGGATTGGATGGGGTGGCTGTGAAGGGGGCAGGGGCCCAGGAGCTGCCCCAGCTCCTGCGGGACAGTTAGGGGGAAAGACCTGCTTGTTTGTGAACTCAACTTTTCTGTGGCTGTTACATTAAACTTCACCCCAAACCACACCTGGCTCCGTGGGTTTCCTGCGATCCTCTCTGGGGTCTCAGAGAAGTGGGGACTAGGGCTAGCATAATTCTCCTTCCTGCTCAGCACCCTGTTTTGCTCCCCCTGCTCCTGTCTCCTTCTTGCCTGTCACTTTAGGTCCAGAATTGGGATGAGGTGGGGGAACAAAGGTTCCAGCCAGGTTTCATGAGAGACCCACGTTCACCTGACCATTCTTCAACCTTCTGAGCTTGAAAAGAGAGGCAGTTACCAGGTGCCTGCCCTGAAGATAAGGCCAGAGTCTTCAACAGGCTCTCCCTTCCAGAGCAGCCCACCAGCACATGCCTAGGACCTCACTGTGACTGCCACAGCCAGGGAGTGCCAGGCCTGTGGTAGCCCCAAAACTCACTGGCTCTATAACAGGCAGGAAGGTTGGAGAATGGACTTAAAGCAGGCCCTGCCCAAATTCCAAAGCAAACATCTTCCTGCTTCTGGTCCCCTCGAGACTCCCTCAGTTGCACCATGTGAGGGCCAGGGCCGTTGGGAGCAGGGACACACAGTCAGGCCCACAGGGCTCTGCTTGGCACTTGGAGAGGACCCTGACCCCAGCAACTCAGGGATGGACACCAATTGCAGCATGGTTTATTGGACAAGACGTGCACTTTTTGACAGGGCCTCAGTAACCACGGTTTCCTTCACTGAACAGTCCAGGACCAGGGTAAAAGGGCTTATAGACAAGAAAGACAAATCCTTCCCATGAGCCAGAGGGGAAAGAAAAGAGGAAGGGGGGCTTCTCCTTTCTTTCTCCTTCCCTAATACTCTGGGCCTCAGTTCACCCCATTCCAGAGGGAGGTTGACCAAGGGAAGCTGGGCAGTGCGTGCCACAGCCAGGAGTGGGCTGGGGCTGGCCGATCAGGGTCAAAATGCCTGCCCAGGCCATCCACCCTCTCCCCACCCAGGCCCCCCATGGGTATGGTTAGAAAATACAAAAGCGGATCCAATGCAGGACATCATGTGCAAACAGAGGAGGGGACGGAGCTTCTGCAGTCTCTCTCGGCCACAGCCCTGCTGACGGGTCAGAGTGCACCGAGGTGCTTCAGAGAAGGGTCTCTTCTCAATCCAGGGAGGGTGGGTGGCTGTTGTCACTAAGCTGGGGGAAGGTGGTTTGCGAAAGAGGAGCAGAGACTGAAGGGGAGGCCGGAGGGGGGCTTTTCCTTCCTCCAGCACGTGAGTGGGCCGGCCAGTCAGAAGCAGGTAGCTGGTACCTAAGAGAAGCCGGTAGGGAAGAGGCTGAGGGGCTGACTCTCGTTGGTGGGCAGTGGAGATCGGTAGCCATCAAAGTTTCTTGGGATGCTGCCACTGGTGGAACCCGAGCTGTTACTCAGAGTCTCGATGCTTCCCTCTCGCTGTAGTTCTGCAAGACAAGAAGAGGGCCAGGCCCGGTCAGAGTGCAGTCTGGTGGGGTGGGGCATACCCTGGGCTGGGCTGCCTGTCTGGAGGCACCCATCTGGGTCCATTTACATCCTTCATGCTCCCCAGAAAGGACAGGTGGCAGCTGGGGTCACAGGGAGGCTCAGTGGAGAAGGGAGACGCTCCCTTGGCTGGTGGGCTCCAGTTGTTCCCTCCTTGTGGGAACTCCTTCAGGCCAGAAGTATGGCCACCCTGATGATCTGTCTGGACCGCACTGTGGACGTGTGCCCACGCCTGCACACATACTCATGCACAGCCAGCATGCTCCCCCAACTCCAAGAGTGGCTCTTGTCCTGGACCCGCAGGTCGGGCAGGAGGGGAGGAGCCAGGACACCAGAAGGACTGCAGCTTCCCTCCTGGTCTGGCCCTACCTCTCCTCCCCTGCCGCAGACCTTCCCCCCAGCTCATTCTCACCCACACAGTCTGCCCAATGGCCAGGCCCTGTTTCATCTTTGGCACCTCTTACAAGATGTCCTATTTCCCTGCAGGAGGGAATGCCTGCTTTGAGAGGGGCCTACTCCAGTGGGGAGAGGGTTCCTGCTTGCCTGGGGTGCCTCCTTTCTTTCTTCCTCTTAGCCCCCACGTCTCCTGGAG